CAGCCCAGGAAAAGACCCGGCGGGCCAGAAAGCGCTCATGGCTACTACTACTACTACTACACTACGACACTAACTACTACTACTACTACTACTACTAACTAACTTACTACTTACTACTTACTACTTACTACTTACTACTTACTACTTACTACTTACTACTTACTACTTACTACTTACGACTTACGACTTACGACTTACGACTTACGACTTACGACTTACGACTTACGACTTACGACTTACGACTTACGACTTACGACTTACGACTTACGACTTACGACTTACGACTTACGACTTACGACTTACCACTTACGACTTACGACTTACGACTTACGACTTACGACTTACGACTTACGACTTACGACTTACGACTTACGACTTACGACTTACGACTTACGACTTACGCCTTACGACTTACGACTTACGACTTACGACTTACGACTTACGACTTACGACTTACGACTTACGACTTACGACTTACGACTTACGACTTACGACTTACCACTTACGACTTACGACTTACGACTTACGACTTACGACTTACGACTTACGACTTACGACTTACGACTTACGACTTACGACTTACGACTTACGACTTACGACTTACGACTTACGACTTACGACTTACGACTTACGACTTACGACTTACTTACGACTTACGACTTACGACTTGACTTACGACTTACGACTTACGACTTACGACTTACGACTTACGACTTACGACTTACCACTTACGACTTACGACTTACGACTTACGACTTACGACTTACGACTTACGACTTACGACTTACGACTTACGACTTACGACTTACGACTTCACGACTTACGACTTACGACTTACGACTTACGACTTACGACTTACGACTTACGACTTACGACTTACGACTTACGACTTACGACTTACGACTTACGACTTACCACTTACGACTTACGACTTACGACTTACGACTTACGACTTACGACTTACGACTTACGACTTACGACTTACGACTTACGACTTACGACTTACGACTTACGACTTACGACTTACGACTTACGACTTACGACTTACGACTTACGACTTACGACTTACGACTTACGACTTACGACTTACGACTTACGACTTACGACTTACGACTTACGACTTACGACTTACGACTTACGACTTACGACTTACGACTTACGCCTTACGACTTACGACTTACGACTTACGACTTACGACTTACGACTTACGACTTACGACTTACGACTTACGACTTACGACTTACGACTTACGACTTACGACTTACGACTTACGACTTACGACTTACGACTTACGACTTACGACTTACGACTTACCACTTACGACTTACGACTTACGACTTACGACTTACGACTTACGACTTACGACTTACGACTTACGACTTACGACTTACGACTTACGACTTACGACTTACGGCTTACGACTTACGACTTACGACTTACGACTTACGACTTACGACTTACGACTTACGACTTACGACTTACGACTTACGACTTACGACTTACGACTTACGACTTACGACTTACTACTTACTACTTACTACTTACTACTTACTACTTACTACTTACTACTTACTACTTACTACTTACTACTTACTACTTACTACTTACTACTTACTACTTACTACTTACTACTTACTACTTACTACTTACTGAAAGGGCGTGACATCCAAGGTCCGCTCCTTCACTCGTTCCCGGTACACCTGCGGCGTACGCGGCAAAGGGTCTCGTCACCCAGTGGCACGCCCATCGCAAAGCATTCCTCCCCTTGAGAGAGGCATGCCCAATCTGGATCACCCATCAACTTCAAGGACTGCGACAACAAGTGCAACAAGAAAGGCTGGCGCTCTGGGACCTGCAAAGCCAGATCCGGGTCTGGCAGCATGCTTGCAACCTGCTGCCTCAAACGCTGCACGCCCTGTTCACTAAAGGGGGACGACTTCATCCTTCCGACAGCCAGTTGCAAAGCAGCCTTGCGCAAGTCACCAACCTCCTCTAGCACAAAGTTTCGGATCGCCCTTTGCACCCGCTCAGCATGCTGCCACTCCTCTCGACTTGAGAGCATGCCTCGCTGTTCCGGGCGCCAGCGCCCCGGAGAGCACAAGCCAAACCCATCAACAAACATGCGCCCTTTCGGGTGATTGCGGCAATGAATGGGCTGACCAAAACAACGACTTGTGGCCTGATCGAAGACATCACTCTCTTCCTCTGCCTCCTCCAAGTCCGACATGTCTGCAACCCCAAAACTGCCCGGCGGCCCTAAACCTGAAGGGGAGGAGGAAACCCCAACCGCGGCGGGATCAGGACTAGCCACCGGGGCACCGTTATGAGGTCCAGTCGCCCTTTCCTTATCAAACCCTAAAAGCCCACCAACCTTAGATGCAAGGGGCGTCCCAGCATCGGCGACAGGACCCGAGGGCTCCGCTAAGGTCTCTGCTGTATCACCCCGGGCAACGCCAGCAGTGACTGACGGCGGGAGCAGAAAGCCCAAATGCGAAAGCAAGGATAGCGAGCTCACGTCAAGAGCCGGCAGTTGGCGGACGCAGTAGCCAACGAGCACCACCCGAGAACCTCCAGACCAGGGTTCAGTCTGATGAAAGCGCTCCCAAGCTCGCAGAAGCTGTGGTGCCCGAGCGACATCCAAGAGGACCCCCGGACACGGAGTCCCATGCACCGTGCGCCAGACATCCCCATTCTGATCCTGCTGCCACACCTGGCCATTGGAGAACGTCGAAAGTGCTAGCAGAAGATTTGGATAGGGTGCATTATGCGAATCCCGATGCATCTGTGTGGCTGCATCCACAAAGACCGCAACAGAAGAGAAGATCTGGCCTGGAAAAGCATGGCGGAGCAAAGTGCACAGGACCCGAAGGGTGGCCGGAAACTCGCGGCAGGACCTACGAAGGCCGACAACTCCCCCTTTGCAGTATGCCCCGCCAAAGAAGGCTTGCCCAGCCGCAGTCTGAGCACTGACATGCGGGGCCTCCAGTGGCAAGAGGGTGATCAGTGCTTGGGCATCGTGTGGAGCAGGGGGCCTGTCCTGTTGCAAGAGAAACGTAGCAAACTGTTCAGCAGCATGTTGTTCCGGACCATCCGTGCTAAAGGAAGCAGAAAGTGCCGAGGCAATCAGGTCAGCAAGAAAGGCACAAAGCGGGGATGGGTAAGCTTCAGTACCGGCAGTGCGCCACTGGCCCGATGACCAACCAGCCCCTGGTCCGTGATGGTGATCACACCGAAGGATGGGCCCTGCATATGTCCCATCTTCCTGAAAGGAGGGCCAGGAAGACCCGAAGACTCGAGCCCCAGGCAGATTCGAAGCCAAGCGAGTAGGTTTTGGAGTATCGGCGGAGTAATCGCACTGGCGGATGCCCCAACAAGGGGCGTCGCCCACTGCAGTCCGGATCTGAGGCCATTGCCAAATGCTAGCTGGGTCATCGCCATTGGGCAGGCGACCCAGATCTTCCGGATGTTCAAGCAACCAGAAATGTCCCAGCGAAGACATCAGTTGAATCATAGCGGCACACTGCTCAACGAAGAAATTATGCTCTTGCACCAGTGCGCGGTGCGATGCAGACAACCAAGAAAAACCAAACGTATGAAAGCGGGAGCGCAGCGGTCGGGGCCCGGAGCCATCCGGCCGAGATCTATATCGGGCGCGACTGAAAGTGGAACATGGAGGTGACAAGATCACCACATCCCAAGCGCCCGAACGAATTTCCTTTTCCAATGAATCCCAAAGAGCTTTTTTAGAAAGGTCAGACTTAGTTCCATCCCGACAAATGTCAATTTCACGCAAATTCAAAGTGAAACCATGCACATCAGCCAAGCGACGCAAATGTGTGGCGAGGTCTCCGTCACGAGGCTTGCCAGCGAACAAGTACAGCACTGAAAGTCAGCTCTTCGCGCCAGCCCCATCTGTTGCCCGCGAAGCACCATGATGCTCCATCCAATGCTGCCAAGTGGGATGTGGCTTGCCGCAGCCGCGGACCTGACAGCAATGTACCATGCCACAGCTCCCGTCGCAGCCGGCCCCACTGTAAGCAAAACAGATGAGCCGATTGTCGGGCGTGCGAGTCACAAGATCACCACCCTTGCGGTCCTTGCCCTTCTTGCCTGACTTTGCCTCCTTGCCCTTCCTGCTGCCCTTGAAGTCGCCCTTGCGATTTCCTTTCTGCCACTTGTCCCAGGATTTTCCCCAGGCTGCTTCAGATTCGCCACCGGGTTGCCAGGGACGTTTCCAAGCAGGCTCACTGCGACCCTGGAGCGCAATGGGGACACGAAGAATTGCTCTTTCAACTGAGCATTTCCTTGAACCTCTGCCAATGTATCCACCAGTGCCCGCGACTCACGGAAGGCCTTCTTGACAGCTTCGCGACGCATCTCATACTCATATGTGAGCAGCACCTGCCACGGAGGACGAAGTGGTTGTTGGTCACCCTTGCCCTTTCCCCCGGGAGTCGGGACTTGCATCAAGTAGACTTTGTCACCCAACAAGTAGTTGACATAGTCGAGCCACACTGCTGGAGTCATGCCACGGAACATGGCCTGGTTCCGATACTTGCTAGCCAGGAAGGTCCACATGTTCGCCTCAACGCGTAGGACAGTGCGGAGCTCCTCCGTATGAGCAGGCAGATTTCCTTTGGCTTTCTGACGAACGATGCGAACATGTCCAGTCGTGTCCACACTGGTTTGAATGCCCTGAGTCTTGGCCCGCTTCTTTGAGATCACCTCCGAAAGCGGTGAGGCCGACACTTCACCAGATTCGACCTCCTCTATTTTGGCTGACAAGTACTCCTCCGAAGGCTCGTAGGTCTCCTCAATGGATCCATGAACAGCCTCGAAAGCTGCACGCATAGCCTGCTTCTCTGTCTGTGTCACCGGCCGCACCACACCTAAGACCCGCGCTTCTGCTTTGAGCGATGCCTCCTTGCCAGCATACTCTTTGGAAGCCTCCCAAGCAGCTACCACAGAGGCCACCACGGCCCGGGAAGCTTGATCCGTAGCATCCAGAGTGTGATCAGTCCGAAGAGCAGCCCGAACTTCAGCCCTTGAATCAGCATAACTCGCAAAGCGTCTCACAGTACGAAAGTTGATGCTCAAGCGGTATTGCAAAGGCAGAGGCACCCCGCACTCCTGGAAGATATGCCGCAGATCCGATGCCACCTCCACGTCCAGATGCCGCAAAGCCGCTGCCTCATCGATGCCATTGGGGTAATCAAGTGGACCAGGCGCGCCTCCCGCCATGCCTGTGGTATCACTAGCTGCAGTAAAACGCACAAACTCAAAGGACATTCCAGCCATCCTGTGACTGCACTGAGCTACATCTCAGTCCCTTGCTCTGATCACATCGGCACATCTTTCATTCGTGCTCGCAATGAGCAACGTGCCACCAACATTCAACTCAATCATTCCACCCCTACGACTGCAAGCAAGTGCAACAGCCAACAACACTTTACGACTCAGCGCGCAAATCGCCTTCCGAAGCACTACACTAGCTTGAATCATCCAAGTCCGGAACATCCGCCGATCCCGGAGGTTCCCCCTGCCCGTCATTCCCCGGAACCAGCGAATCTTCCGATCCACTGCTGGAAGTCTCCTGCGCCGCTGATATCTTAGGCTGGCAGAGTTTGCAGATCGCATCAGCAATGCCCTCCGAGATCTTTGACACTCCCACAGTCTCCATACAGCGCTCTTGTCGAACTGCACAGGCCTTGGAGAGATGCAAACGGCGGAACCCAGAGCGAGAAACTGTCACAAAGAACGGCATGTCCGGAGCGAAGATTCTTCTTCCCCAGCATCCTTCTCTTCAGCAGGCAACTCAGCTTCCAGGCGTCCACGCGAAATCTCGTAGCGCTCAGGACCCACCGCCAGCAAGGGGTGAATGCCTCCGAGCTTCCATGTGTAATCGGTCCACTCGAGGACCTGATGCCACGCAATCACTTGAATGCCATCCTGCCCGGCTGCGTCTGCAAAAGACTGGATAGACTGAAAGAGCTCCTCCTCAATCAATCCACCCTCTGCAGTTCCTTCTACCAAGGATTTGCAAACGAAGTTCTGTAGTCCTTGCACGATCTGCCGGGCAGTTGTAAGATAATCCAAAGAGCTGCCTTGCGAGCATCTCCAGCGTCCAAGGAAATCGCACTTTGATTTGTCAGCACCCAGCGAGAGTGCCCATGTTGGCAGAGCATGCCGCGCAGAATGACCTGTCCAATACGCGGCCACCGACGCGGGCAACAGCTTCGTGGCACTTGTTCCCCAAGTGCCCTCACGGCACAAGGGCACCCGAAGCTCCTTGTGCAATCGACGCAGAAGTACAGCCAAATCCTGAGCCTCCACATATGAAAATCCAACATTCCAGGATTCATCCATCGCTGGACATAAATAATCCCGCGGCCAGTGCAGCTCAGACGTCTGAAGCAAACGGTACCCCTCCAAGAGCCAATCGAAACCACTCAAAGAAATCACTCTTGACACATATCCTTGCAGTTCACCAGTACGCCGGCCCGGTCCGCTAGTCTTTGTCCGGCGCAGAATGAACTTCAAGCCGATCTGCGACAGAGTGACTGAGAATGGATCAATGTGTTGCACATCATCGCACCTCATAGTCGACCAAAGCATGAGCAGCTGCACAAACGCAAGAAAACGTAGCCCCGCAGGAAGAGTAACCCTGCAGACTGTCAGCTCACATGACAACACCATAGCCACAGTAAGTGCAGGTGCCTTCCTGACCGGCAACGCCACTGTTTCGAGCTCTTCAGTCCAGGACTGGATCGTGCTCATAAGCAGTTGATCCATCGAAAACCTGCTGCTTGCTGGCACCTGCCCAACACTCTCAAGCACTGATAAAGCTGCCATAAGTGAAGATGGTACAGTCTTTCCCATTGGCTGAATATCATGTCGTTCAGTGAGATACTTTACGAAGCGATCAACTCCTCCCGGCCAGCTTTCGCCGAAGGTAATCTCAAGCCACGAATGAAACTTGCGCCATGCCAGAGCACGATTGCGGAGCGTCTTCCCACGCCGAGTGCCGAATAGCCGACACCAGGCTGCCCGTGGATTGGGCAGAGCAGCCACCCCAGCAGCGCAAGGCAGTCCAGCCTCCTCAATATACTGCGCAAGCACAAGAGCCCACTTCTCACGCAGCAGAGCCTCGCGATTCTCGCCCTGTGCTCCATGAATCAGCTTCCGTTGTCGGATCGACTTCTGCAGCACCTCCAAAGCTAGCGCCGGACTACCAAGCACCAGGCCACTGAAAATCTCCTCTTTGCTTTGCTCCCGACGTGGGAACTTGACTGGCCTACGTGGGACCACATCTGCTACTTGCCTGGGAAGTGATACACGCCGTTCCACCGATGCACGCCAATCCAGCAACCGCCGAACCAGCCGATTTAGCTCGTCCGCAGGACGAGTGCCACCGAAGAACTCCAGCAGCATCTGGCTGCATTCATCCTCATCATCCCAGGCAGCCACAAACTGAAATGGCCCAGAATAAAACTTGCATACCTCACGAAAGAGATCGCCATCTAACGTTTCCAACCCATACCAGTGCACGTCAGACATTCACCCAGTGAAGCATCAACCAGACAGAACTAGCAGTCTCAGCGCCATGCTTAGCGCCGAAGGTCTATGCTCCCCACTCACATCAAAAATTTCACGATCCGGTCTCGAGCAACGCAGAGCAAACAATGCCCAATCAATTGGAAAGAGGTCAAATCTGCAAGGACTTCACCACACTCAAATTTGCCAAATACCGCATGCCAAATCAAGTCACTTTCAAGCAGAGTTTTTTCGGAAACACCCACAAAGCTTTTCCACAAGGTGCCAAAGGCCAACATCCAACGTTCCAAGGAGCGCCCACCCACCCCCCCCGACTCAAGTAACGGAACAATCCCCCCGGGAGGACCCGGGTAGTAGGGTTCAAGACGCGTGGAGGGTTCTGCCGCACCGGTTCCTACGTGCACCAACACAGAAGTGTCTGAGCCTCTACGGCAAGAAGTCGACATGCGCTTCACTTCCCTCACGGCTAGAACTCTCGCCTAACATCTTGGTTCCTCGTGGGTGCCGAGAGGGGCGGGCGATGGGGAGGCACACGCTCTGTGACATGGCTCACGCGCTTCCACACGTAGGGGACGAGGCCCAGCGCGCACACGTGTCACACTCAGGACGGTAACATGGCCACCACATCCCGCGGCTCCAGGGCCGACATAACGCTTACGCCCGACATGACAGATGGGTCCACACGGGTCCTCACATGGCTTACACACAGTCCCGCACGCGTGTCCTGCACATCTATAAAGACGATCCCTGCAGGTAGCCCCCTGCGGGCAGTCCCCTGCTGGCAGACAATCCCCTGCAGGCTCCCTGCAGCCAGCCCTGCAGGCAGTCCTGCAGCCACCTTCTCTGCAACCAGCTTCCTTGCAGCAAACAGCAAACCCAGCCCTGCAGAATCCCTGCAGGCAGCCCTGCGGCCAGGTTCCCTGCTCTGCAGACAATCCCTTCAGGCAGTCCCCTGCAGCCAGCGTGACTGCAGCCAGCCCTGCAGACAAGCCCTGCAGGCAGTCCCCTGCAGCCAGCTTCTCTTCACCCAGCTTCGTGGCAGCAGCCCTGCAGACAATCCCTTCAGGCAGTCCTCTGCAGCCAGCTTCGTGGCTGCAGACAATCCCTGCAGGCAGTCCCCTGCAGCCAGCTTCTCTTGCAGGCAGCTTCTCTGCAGCCAACTTCGCTGCAGTTAGCTTGGGAGGCAGTCCCCTGCAAGTAGTCCCCTGCTGCAGGCACTCCCTGCAGCCGTGGCTCCGACGTGGGTCTCACTGGGCCCCACGCGGGTCCTACGTGGGACCCGTGGGTCCATGCGGGTCCCACGCGGACACGGGTCCACATGACATGCGTCCAACGTTGGGTCCACGTGTGTCCCACACGGCTCCCACGTGGGTCCACATGGGTTCACGTTGCGGTCCCACGCGGGTCCACGTGGGTCCCACGTGGGTCCACGTAGGTCCCACGTGGGTCCCACGTGGGTCCCGCGTAGGTCCCACGTGGGTCCACGTGGGTCCCACGTGGGTCCCACGTGTGTCCCACGTGGGTCCCAGACGTGTCCTGGAATCATCGCATGCCACTGCGTGGGCCCCACACCCCGTTTGGGTTTTAAAATTCTTAAAGGGCTCATTTGCAGCATTCTTAAAGGGCACAGAAGTCGGGAGCCAAGCACCGCAGCATTGATCTGTCATGCTCATTTGCAGCATTGTAGTATGGACACGTGTCCAAACGGTGCAGGTAAAGGAGTTTGCTTCCCACTTGCAAAGCTGCAAGGGACTGTTTCACGTGCTTCCTTGGAGCCTGCCGAGGAACAGGTTTCACGCGATTCGCACAACGTCCTCGCTGGATACCTTCAGTTCCCTCTGTTTGCTGTTGAGCTTGCCGCCGCACCCACAAAAAACGGGCAGTTCCAGCGCAGACGCTGGTTTGCAAACCCTTCGCGGAGCTGCAACGCGGGCCCCGTTGGGCCGTTGCTACCTTGCCCAAACAAGCAGCTTGGACTCGGAATTCGCTTCCTTCCTTTGACCAAAACATGAGCCAAGCGAGCGCATGTTCAGGAGCATGTCAAACCGGGGGGGGGACTGAGCAACACGAGCTTTCGGCAATCAAGAGAATTAACAACAGAGGAGAGCGAGCACAACGAGCATCGCGGACATCTTGAGCCACATTATTCCTGGATAAATACCCACCAGCTCTGAGGGTGGCCAGCCCGGGTCTCGCGAGTGATGCTCCCGCTCGGCTGGCCACCCTCTTCCGCGACGCACAACCTGCATGGAAATGATGGCAACAAACAGGAGCAAGTTCAGATAGAAAGCGAAAGAGCGACAGAGAGAGTACATGCGAAAGCACCGACTACACTCACGCCGCGCGCGCGCGCGGTTTCTCAGCCCCACAACCCACGCTCTAAAACAAACACACACACAAACACAAACAAACCTTCCAACACGCGAGCGTTTTCACGCCCTGGCCCAAGCACTGCCCCGAGATGCCATGTAAACGCCTGAGCCGTCGACAGAGAGAGAGAGAGAGAGAGAGAGAGAGAGAGAGAGAGAGAGAGAGAGAGAGAGAGAGAGAGAGAGAGAGAAGAGAGAGAGCGAGAGCGAGAGAGAGCGAGAGAGAGAAAGAAAGATGTTGAGAGAGAGATAGAGAGAGAAAAAGAGACGAGGGAAAGAAACACGATCAGGCAAGGGCAGCGGATGCCCCCACGAATGTCTTCCTGGCCTGTTGAAGAGAGAGAGAGAGAGAGAGAGAGAGAGAGAGAGAGAGAGAGAGAGAGAGAGAGAGAGAGAGAGAGAGAGAGCGAAGGTGCGAAAGCACAGACGCACGCCGAGCTTGTGCGGTTTCTCGGCTCTAACCCGAACTTAAAAAAACAAAGCCCTTCTACACAGGAGCGTTTGCACTCCAGGGCCCAAGCACTTGCGCCAAGCTGCATGACTGGATGTCTGAGCCGTCGACAGTGACAGAGAAAGAGAGATAAAGAGAGATGGAAAGAAACCAAACTGCGTAGAGACACAGCACAAACGTGGGGTTTCTCAGCCTTGCCACCCGAACTCCAAAACAAAACACGCGAGCGTTGTCACTCCAGAGCCGGGCCCAAGCACTTGCACGGACACGCACAACTGGATGTCTGAGCCGTCGACAGTGACAGCAAGAAAGCTAGAGAAAGACAGAAACAGAGCAAAACTGCAAAAGTAGAGACACAGCGCGCACGTGCGGTTTCTCGGCCCTACAACCCAACCGATACGTCAAAAAGGCCATCCAACCAGAAGATCCCCAACAAGTCTTGAAGCACAACACTTTCAAGGCTTTGCAACGCTTGCGCTGGCTCTGGCAAGCGTTTCATTCTTAGGTTAGCTTCGACATGGCCGCTTTCAATCTGTTGAGACGCTGCGTTTCACTGCAGCTCTTTGGACTCAGCTTCTTGCGCTCCTACTTCAGTTGCTCCACGTCAACGAGGCTGCGAGAACAAGAACGCTGAACAAAAGCAGCAGCATGCAAGTTTTTGAAGCACGGCAACGGCTAGAAACAGACCACTCCGCGCAACACATTGCAGAGACACATCAGAGTTTCTGCACAGTGTCCAGCAACTTGAGCCGGTGCCACAGTTCTGAAGAAAGTCAGAAATATTTGGCTGTTAAGATGCACGGAGGTCGCAAGGTTGAAGTCTTCTGCAACGGGGCAACCTCCAAGATCCAAGACGAAGCGTTTGCACTTTGATCCAGCGCATTACGCAATTCCGGTCTTGCGTTCTACCGAAAGAGCTTTGCCTGTCAGTGGTTGGTTTGTCCAGTTGCGCTGTTCAGCATGCAGGGAGTGCCACGCCGCACAAATCTTTTCCGACCTTGTGAAAACACAGCAGCAGCGCGCTGAACCCTCTTTTTCTCACGACTTGAGCCAAAGTCATAAGCCGGAGGCTTCGTCAGTGAAACTCTTTACACACAGGTGAAAACTCTGCTCTGCCACGTGTTCTCCACAGCCACAAAACAAACTCAAACGTCAGTGGGAGTTCTCGGGACCTACCCAACTACACCTAAAGCAAGCAAAAACGTGCACAGTCACTTCTACAGCTTCCAGACACACATCCCTACAACTCGAGCACTTCAAAAGGCTTTCCCACTTAAAGCAGCACTCCCGTCGAGCCTCCAAGGCACAACTACGGAGTTCCTACAACTACACACACAACTCTGAGCCAGCATGCAGGACAACAAAGTTAACATGTCCTTAGACAGGAACTTTCGTCTGCACGCTGCGAGGCGTAGCCACCCGAAGGGGCCGTTGGTCAAGGTGAAACTAAACTAAAAATTACCTCGCTTGAGGCACTCGCGAGGCCGAACTTTGCCCTCCGCATGCATTGCTGTTGAGGCACTTGTTGTGGCATCAGCCTCCGTAAGTTTGGCAATCCCCACTCAGCACTGGATGTTCTGTTCGAGGCATATTTCCTCAGCGCATGCGAGGCCGCAAAGTGAAACACGTGAGGTATGAAAAACTGCTACTCCAGGTTCGTCCGCAGCTCCGGCTTTCTCACACTTACTAACCGTGCCTTGCAGCCTCCCCCAAAGTAGCGTCACCCTGGCTTTCTCGCTCTTACTCACCAGTTGACCAATAATGCATCTCACGCGGTTGCTTCATGGTAAAACTGCAGCTCGAGGTCCCGGCGTTCTCGCTCTTACTAACCCGGACCGACACTGCAGAGAAGCATTGACTGTTGTTCCCTCAGCGGAGGCGAGGCCGAACAACCATTCCGCTGCATCAGCGCAGCCAGGCCCTCAGCTCCTCACTGAGCCAGGGCTCTCTTTAGACAGAGTTCCCTTGCTGGCAAGCCCTCTATCTCTTTGTGACCCCCGCGGTGCCACGTATAAGCAGCTGCACCGCGTGTCTTAGGACCACAGTTTTCATTCGGATTTGTTGTTGTAGGCCTTCCAGTGCTTGAGGCCGAATCCAAACACCACATCTCACGTCACAAGGCTGGC